GTATCGAAAACCGTGCTTTGGATTTACAGTCTGCTGCGAAGCTACGCTGCGAAATGGGCCTGTGAACCTTGGAACTTCCGGCTTTCTGCTACTGACAAACCTTTATCCTCACACGCTGGGGGTACGCAGCCCTCGGCGTGCAGACTAAAAGCTGCGAGGCGAGGGTTTGGTAGGCAAGCTTAGGGGTTTAGGGTGCTACGTTTGAGATCGCATCTGTGAAGACTACATCTGCGGCACACGCGCTGCGGCACGTTTTGACGCGAAGTCGACAGCTCCAGCAACTGTCGAGACTAACGGAACCCCAACCCCGGCCAGAGTTTTCCAGCTACTCGAAGAACAAAGTACGCTTGACAGCCTTACTGTTTACTTTCTGTTGCTTGAACTCGGAGTAAGAGCGACCTGGACTCTGGCCACTGCCCAGTTGACTCAAGACGAGTCTAAAGCTCACTGAAACAAGGATTTGGCTGCTGAGGAGGCGCTTTCGGCAGCAGAAGAAACCTTTCGTCTCTTTTTGGGCTGCTCAGGCGCCTTCGACGCTTTGGAACTGTCAGCCCCAACAGCCTGGTTTCGACGCAAAACTTCTTGGACTTTGTTGTGCGCAGAGGTGCGCTGGCATTCACTCAAGAGCTGGCCGAAACACACGAAGATCTCAAGGTCTTCCAAGGACAAGGTCGCCTCGTCCTTCTTCTGAACGATGTCCCACATAGCGAGGAGTGCTTCGCTGCCGAGTGTGACTTTGATGTCCCCTGAAGGAATGATGAAATGCCCATCTTCACCGTACTTCACCGGCTGACCCTGGCAAAAGATGATGAAGAACTGCAACTTTGACCATGCCTCTCGCAAGAACTTAGTGTGCTGCAGACCTGTCGTTGCTGGGAGGCCCTGCTGGACCTGGCAGAGCATTGCATGGGCTGCCGAGACGGCTCCTTGTGCATCGGTGGCAACGAACTTGAACAAGTCGCCGGCCATCATGCTCTCGCTTTCCTTGATCGCGCGCTGCACCGAGAACAAGTTCTTCTCACTCGGGAGGCATTTTTGCAGGTAGGCCTGCTCCAATGCCTGCTGTCCTCCACTGCCGGCAACATGGCCGAGGAAGGAGATGTCGATGAAAGCATGGCGGTCTGTCGCCATGAGCTTGTCTTTGTGCGCCAACAGCATCTCCTGGCGGCTTTCGATTGAAACGTTTTGTTGTGAAGAGGTTCTGGCTTCAGTGCGACTGTTTCAACTTCGCAAAAACTATCGACGTACAGTGTGAGCACGCTAGTCGGACCCTCTAAAGCTCGTTCTGGCCCTCGTCGCGCTTTGTCTGCGTCCACACAAGTATACCAGGAAGCATCTTCTCGAGTAGTGTGCGCTATTCTTGGGCAAAGGCTGCTACGTGTCAAACACCAAACCCTAAGCCCAAAACGTTAGAAACCCTGTAACGAGCTCCATTAGGAACCCCGTTTTATGAGCCGTGAGTAAGTCCCTTAATCTTCTGTGTATGGTTCAGCCCTAAACCCTAAACCCTAAACTGTAAACCCTAAACCCTAAACCCTAAACCTACACTCTACACTTCTTGAA